GGGCCTTGAACAGTGCTGATTTTACACTGTTTTCAATGGGACTTGAATTAGTGGACTGTACCCTTACTGTCGGGGACCTCCTCAAAATCTTGATTGTGTCACTACCCTATAGCTACATGTGCATCTATATTTACCAGTAGTAGAGAGGGGCCACACACACATTGTACACTCACACCTGTTTTACATACAAAGTGTGGACATTCCTTTGTTCTCCTGTGGTTAAGGAAAATTGAGGAAATTGTTCCTTTATCTCTCACTAGGATAATTCGTTCGAGCTGGATTTTTGATGATGATTTCCTGGACTGTTCCTCTTCATTTTGCCACAGATAACGTTGACCCCAAAATGTCTTTGAAACTGTTTTTCAGAGAGGGGAAAACATTGTGTGGACATGTGTGAGTCCACACAACGCTATCATACCCTACATTATGTGGACTTCTTTTGTGCAGAGGTCCACACTATGTACATGTATGCCACACCTGCACACTATGACTGACAGAATGTACCTTGTGCACACGGCTCTACAGAAGGGAAATTCATGTACATAATATCTGTATGTCACATCCAGTGACTAAGAGGCTCACATACATGTACTTAATGAAACCGCATGATCCATGAGGTTTCAAGTGCCTGGAATCCCCATTGTATTTTGAGAACAGTGAGCATTGATGGGGGTAACAGACCTACCAGTACTTGGGGAAAAGTGTCTTGCTCGAGGACACAAGATGGAATCTGGAATCTCTCATCCTCTGGACACAAGTGACGTTTGGCTGTCGTGTGTTGAGTTCAAGGGGTTTTTTTGGGGGGAAGACTTGTTTTTTGGGCAGCCAAAACTTTGGAAATTTCTTCATGTAGGCCTACTGGGTATAAATCTTTGAAGCCTTTCTGAGGGATGAGCCTACTTACATTTTTGGGCTTTTTACACAACTTTGCAAGGAAAGGAAATGGGGATCAAAAAATTCAAACCAACTTTTGTTTTCCTTTTTGGGGGGGCAGTAGGACAGGCCCTCCCCCCATTTGTCACGTCTGGGTTCCTGTCAAGGGTCTGTACACCACTGAAATGTATGTACCGGTGTGTGTGTACATGAACTCCCAGGCTGCCCATCCCTTTGGTTCGAGTACCTTCTTTTCACCTCCCCCTTTTCACCTCCCCCGTTTTCACCTCCTCCTCCCCCCCCCCCACCTGTGAAACAAATTGATTTTAGAGTACTGTACATGTATTGTACATGTATCTGGTTGGGCCTTCCCAGCAGAAATGACCACGGGAGTAGGTAGGAGTGTATATATCTGAATGACTGGAAGTTTCTAACGACTGTTTCTCCCCCCGTTTCTCATTTCAGTTTGCTCGTTCAGTGTACACAAGCGGTGCCATGAATTCGTCACGTTTGAGTGTCCAGGATCAGACCAGGGGGCTGACTCTGACGTAAGTCGTCTTCTCGAAACTCTGAGTCTTTTGGTTCGCTGGACATCATTCTGTTTCTACTGTTCAAAAATTACGCAAGGAAACATGTTCTCACCAGCAAAGCCTTTGTCAATTATTCACGCACAGAATTTTAAAGATGGGAACTAACTAATGCATTTAATCAAACAAGGTTCTGTTGTGGTGCCCAGACCATTGCCGTATTGGAGGGTCCATTTCTTTGCATTAGGAAAAGCCAGACGGAAACGTTGGGACAAAAAGTGTTGTCCAGTCCACTCCGAGCAGAACAAAAGAGGACGCCCAAGTATATGCACTTTGACGCAGAGCGCGCTGAGTACGCGTAACTTATTTATTTCGGCTTGTATGGTCGTTGCGTACACACAAAACCCGCTTGTATAACCACCCGCTTGTACAACCCGCTTGTAACCACCTGTCTTTCTTTTGTCGATTGGGGCTACACTTGAGCTCAGGGGTGGATAATGTTGCGACGCACGTGTTGTCCTCATAAACTATGGAACAAGTGAGTGTGTGCGTGGGGGGGGTTGCGCTAAGAATTTGTTTTGTCAAGTTTGACTCGTTTGTCATATGCACCGGTTCGTCAAGATCGGAGCTGTGAACAAGAGGCTGATACTGTGTGGCAAGTCAGGGGAGAGATTTCTCAATTTTTCAGCTGATTTCAGCTTTTTTTGTTGTAGATTTCCGCTTTTTTCCCCTCACTGGCTGTGTACAAAAGTACAGGACATTTTCACAGTTCAGCTTCTTCAGCAGTTTTTATCATTGGTCAATCTCATCCCTGGCAAGTATACATGTACATGTACCGGTACCATGGAGGAAGGACACAGGAGTCACAACTCTGGCACATCAAGGCGCTCAATGATCATCGTCGCCCGGTCAGACGAACCAATTAGTAAACATTCCAACAATGCTTGATTAGTGCCTGCAGCTTAGCCGTACAAGTGGGGCCAGTCATACCGTAGCAGTATTTGTGCTGTTTTCTTTGCAATGAACCGCAACTTATCGAAAAACAGGGGGAAAAAGCAAAAACGATGGGATTAATATTCAACTCTCTATACTGCAGTACACAACGCTTATCACAGTGACCGGGAAAAAGCAAAAACAAGGGCATGAATATTCAACTTCCTATACTGCAGTACACAACATTTTAAGGATGCAGATTACTTTCGGAAAATTGCGGCGATGATCATGGGGTAGCCAGTACAAGGGGGTTTATGGTCGTGAAACAGGTGGTACAAAGCAAGTAATCACTGGGCGCTCTGGCTATGGACATACCAGACATGCCAGAGAGCGGCATTTGGCCAGATATTATAGCCCGGGTACTGGTAGTTCAAACTCCTGTGTCCTTCCTCCATGCGTGTGCGGTACCTGCTGGTGGTGTGGACCCATGAACTGGAGAGATCCACGTCATGCAGGTTATGTGACCCTTATAGACTAAGCCAGGTCCACACATGAGCTTCCCCATTCCCCCCCCCAGGAAAAAAGGTTTAGGGGCATTTTGAGGTCAGGGTTATCTGGAGCAAAGGAAACAAAAATCCAGCTTCAGACAGTGTTCACAGTTCAAGAAAAACCAGTATTTTTTCACTGAGTTTGCTTAACTACGCGAGCAGAAAGGGGTGTCCACACTATCGCAGGTATGCGCCGGGTCAGGAACACGGGTGTTCAGGTTATGCGAAGGAAGGTTGTCATTCAGACGGCGCACAACAAGGCTGGAGGCATGGTTTGTGCAACACAGTATTCCATTCAGTGGGACACTATGGCACTGCTCACAGGCCGGTGCTCCGCAAAAGCCACCTCACCACGCCTAATTGTGCAATGAGCACATATACATGTATTCAGGCCGCGTCACTTCTTTAATTTCCACAGAGATGTCTGTGCCACGTGTCCCCGGCCCCATCTGACCCAACCTCCCCCGTCTCTTTTGGTGGGTCTTTCTCCATGTGTACATGTGTGTATTTTTGTGAGCAATGTATGTACATGTACATGTAGGTGCAGTTTCCCAGGCTTGCTGGGTTTGACCCTGGGATCACTCTTAAGAAGATGTTTCATGCGTGCTTTGCAAGCTTCCTGCCCGATTATCGAGTCATAAGTAGAGATGCATGACGGTCTACCATGTACTATATGCTGTGTATGAACCTGTACGCGGGGACCCATTATTCAGCCGAGTCGTGGCACCTGGTTTCATCGCACAGATGTCTAGGGGGAGGGTCTCTGCTTTAAGCTGCAGGCTCACTTGAATACTAACAAGATTTCAGCCTGCATGAAAACAAAGTCTCCCTGCATCGTCCGAGTTCCCTGGCTGCATCCAGGCATTTGAATACAGCGCCGCCTATGCAGGCGGCATCCAAATGCAAGGTCGAACTGAGCACCGGGCCAGCCCCTTGGTGGACCGAAAATGAGCCGGATATCGTGTTTTGACTCAATTCACCCATTAACACAGTCACAGTTTCATTCCACGTTAACAATACAGTCACATCGTACCAGTATAGAAAGGCTTACTCACAGACGATTGAAAATGAAAATGTACACATTACAAAAAGGAAGCGCCAACAATAAAAGCAGTATATTGTTGGGCTGCGTATTACCGTACCAGTAGACTCGAGAGAGCATGCAGGAGGCTTCACTGAAATTCTACCAAGCACAAACTATTGTGCAGGGTGGAATTCCCTATGTGTATTACAGAATACTACTACCTGTTCAAGTTTACCTAATACATGTACATGTGCCCAGGACTGTTTAGTATTAAGTGTTAAATACTGCAAAATATTACAAGCAGCGTAAGTTGCCTGTACTGTACTGTATTTACATACTGCAGTTTACCATACATGCTTGTAGGATTTTTGTTACAGGAGCTGTAACTCTGTGTTGCCTGATTAAATGTGAACATGATAACATGCAGACGTGGTCCATATCACAATGCTTTGTTCACTGGTTAACATCTGCGAGTTTCCATACTCGTGGATTGATAGGAAACCAGCCCAATGTATTCAAGAGAACAATGTCAAAAGTACTTCTTCCGATCAACGCACAAACTTGCTGATTTATTTTAATGACAAACTTGCACAAGCACCGTTAGGTTAGAACCAGAACTAATTATTTTGTGGAGAAAGATGAGGCAATATTGTGGGGCTTTTTTACACATTTTTGTCAAGAATCCCCACAAAAGTTTGCTTTGGGGGGTAGGGGGCTTGGTCCCCGTTGCACTCCTTCCCATCCCCTAGAAAGCCTGATCGGGATAAAGGAGCCGTTTCCTCCTTTCATTTGGATGCAATGTTGGATTAATATCTCTGGGCAGATTTTCCCACCCTCGCTCCCAGGGCTGTCTTGGATACCACTGCCCTGGTGAAGATATCGCTTTTCCTCCTCATCATTATGCTGTCATAAATTTGTAAATCTTTGTTGGTCCCTGGATGTGGGCAGTCCCTAGGGGTTTTTATCCAACTGTGCGATGAGTTTTGACTCTTCTTTCTGATGCCGGCCTTTTAAAATGAATTTGTGCTGTGAAGTCCTCTAGTGCAGTTGCATTTTTGCAATACATGTACAGTACATTGTACACTGGACGTGTATCCAGGAATATACTCTACCGGTACATGTATGGTACATGTACCTAGGTACATTTGTACACTCAGAACATTATGTTTCCATTGAGGCTGTTGAGGATACTTGTACAAAGCCAGACATGCTTCGGATCCCTGTAACATGTCCATTCATTTAGATGTGGAGCGCAGCACTAATTACAAAGCTTTCAAAGGAGGCTATTTGTTCCCGTGGCAACTTCCAATGACATCACCGAGCAGCCAGGGTATCCTCCCCCTTCCCTCCAGTCTTTCTCTGTACAAGTACATCGCCGTGCCCGATCAGTCATCCAGTTGAACGCACCTGAGGGAGTCTAGAATCTAGACTGATAGAAGCGTCGATGAGTCCAGTGATGGGTGACTGGATATCGCGTCTGGCGTGACTTCCCCCCGTGAATCGACCTGCTGCAGGCGTAAGGCAGGGGCTCTGTCTGCAAAGGCTGTGCATTTGATTTCGAGAACACACCGCAGCTCCTTGTCATCAAGCGAGCACGACATTCCTTGTGCGAGACCTGTGAAGCAAAAGGCGTCCTCCTAGTGTGGGTAGGGAGGTGGCTGTGTGGACTTGCCCAGGTCCACACTAGCTTCTCCTGAATTTTGGGCTCCGAGTAGAGAGCCAAGAGAAGCAGTCCCAAAAAGTTGTGATTAAAAATTTGACCTCATGATGAACTAAAAAGAATGATTGCACTTGATATTTTCCTCATTTAAACCTCAAAATGCCATTCTGAGGTTCTTTCCCTTTTTTGTACATTTTAATGCTAACGTGCTTGGAAATATCCACACTCTACAGAACAACTACAACTGTGATTTTTACCTACACCTCAAAAGGCAGATGCATCTAAGGAGATCTTAAAAAAGGGGCTACATACATGTACAGTATAATGTACACATGTACATGTACAAATGGGCAAGGGAGTTTGAATACATTGACTACATTGACTACTTCATGTCTCAGTAAGTAAATAGACTTTGGGTGATAGTTTGCAGGTTGCGGATCCAGTATTTAGGAAATGGAGGGTCACCCAGGGTGCAAAGGAAACCTGACCAGATGTTCTGCTCATCTGGGCAGAAATAAGCCTTTTGCAAGTTGAATTTGAATAAAACCTGGTACACTGAATTATCTGATTGGGGAATTCAAATTTTTATGCTCGTGCACAGACTAAAGACACTGTTAATGTACCTCGTGAGTTTAAGCTTTGCTAGTCAGAAGCCATAAAACCTTTAACTCCATGCATGAAAGGAATTACATGTACACAGTAAATCATCAGTTGAGACCAGACGTACATGTACATGTACGCCAGGGGCAGGAAAAAAGCCGAAGTGCATGTACATGTACATGTGTACATATCTCCTTTAAAAGGGGAAGGGGGAGCAGCTGTCCCTGCCCTACCCTGGATGGGATGGCCTGGAAGG